TACATTAATTTGATAGAGTATTTCTGGAATTTGTTCTTCCTTGTGTTGTTAAGAATTTTGTTGAACACATTGTTCTTAGGAATAGTCCATGGTCAACACAACATTTAGTTGCTAAGAATTTTCAATATTTATATTTCTTATGAGGTTCATCCTTCTAAAACATAAGAATTGAAAGCCAAAGCTACGAGATTACATACCACAAAGTAAAAGAATTTATTTACTTTTCAAAGATTATATAAATTCTATTTTAGTGTTATAATTATAGATGTACTATATTTATACTATCATTTTTGAAATTTCTGAAATAAAATCATTTCTAAAAGAAATAGAGAGGGCAGACAGAAGCAAGAAGAACTATAATCCTGCAGCCTGTGGAACAAAAACCACATTCACAGAAATATAGACAAGATGAAAAGGCAGAGGGCTATGTACCAGATGAAGGAACAAGATAAAACCCCAGAAAAACAACTAAATGAAGAGAGATAGGCAACCTTCCAGAAAAATAATTCACAATAATGATAGTGAAGATGATCCAGGACCTCAGAAAAAGAATGGAGGCAAAGATCGAGAAGATGCAAGAAATGTTTAACAAAGACCAAGAAGAATTAAAGAACAAACAAACAGAGATAAACAATACAATAACTAAAATGCAAACTACACTAGAAGGAATCAATAGCAGAATAACTGAGGCAGAAGAATGGATAAGTGACCTGGAAGACAGAATGGTGGAATTCACTGCTGCAGAAAAGAATAAAGAAAAAAAAAAGAAAATAAATGAAGACAGCCTAAGATACTTCTGGGACAACATTAAAGGCAACAACATTCACATTATAGGGGTCCCAGAAAGAGAAGAGAGAGAGAAAAAGAGAAAATATTTGAAGAGATTATAGTAGAAAACTTCCCTAACATGGGAAAGGAAATAGCCACCCAACTCTAGGAAGTGCAGAGCGTCCCATACAGGATAAAACCAAGGAGAAACACGCCGAGACACACAGTAATCAAACTGGCAAAAACTAAGGACAAAGAAAAATTATTGAAAGCAGCAAGGGAAAAATGACACATAACATACAAGGGAACTCCCATAAGGTTAACAGCTGACTTCTCAGCAGAAACACCACAAGCCAGAGTGGCATGATACACTTAAAGTGATGAAAGGGAAGAACCTACAACCAAGATTACTCTACCCAGCAAGGATCTCATTCAGATTTGATGGAGAAATCAAAAGTTTTACACAGCAGCAAAAGCTAAGAGAATTCAGCACCACCAAACCAGCTCTACAACAAATGCTAAAGGAACTTCTCTATGTGGAAAACACAAGAGAAGAAAAGGACCTACAAAAACAAACCCAAAACAATTAAGAAAATAATCATAGGAACATACATATCAACAATTACCTTAAACGTGAATGGATTAAATGCACCAACCAAAAGACACAGGCTTGCTGAATGGATACAAAAACAAGACCCATATATATGCTGTCTATAAGAGACCAACTTCAGACCTAGGGACACATACAGACTGAAAGCGAGGGGATGGAAAAAGATATTCCATGCAAATGGAAATCGAAAGAAAGCTGGAGTAGCAATACTCATTTCAGATAAAACAGACTTTAAAATAAAGAATGTTACAAGAGACAAGGAAGGACACAACATAATGATCAAGGGACCAATCCAAGAAGAAGATATAACAATTATAAATATATATGCACCCAACACAGGAGCACCTCAATACATAAGGCAACTGCTAACAGCTATAAAAGAGGGAATTGACAGTAACACAATAATAGTGGGGGACTTTCACACCTCACTTACACCAATGGACAGATCATCCAAAATGAAAATAAATAAGGAAACAAAGCTTTAAATGACACAATAGACCAGATAGATTTAAGTGATATTTATAGGACATTCCATCCAAAAACAGCAGATTACACTTTCTTCTCAAGTGCGCACAGAACATTCTCCAGGATAGATCACATCTTGGGTCACAAATCAAGCCTTATTAAATTTAAGAAAATTGAAATCATATCAAGCATCTTTTCTGACCACAACGCTATGAGATTAGAAATGAATTATAGGGGAAGAACCATAAAAAACACATACACATGGAGGCTAAACAATACTTTACTAAATAACCAAGAGATCACTGAAGAAATCAAAGAGGAAATCAAAAAATACCTAGATACAAATGACAATGAAAACACAATGATCCAAAACCTATGGGATGCAGCAAAAGCAGTTCTAAGAGGGAAGTTTATAGCTATACAAGCCTAACTCAAGAAACAAGAAAAATCTCAACTAAACAATCCAACCTTACAGCTAAAGGAACTAGAGAAAGAAGAACAAACAAAACCCAAAGTTAGCAGAAGGAAAGAAATCATAAAGATCAGAGCAGAAATAAATGAAATAGAAACAAAGAAAACAAAAGCAAAGATCAATAAAACTAAAAGCTGGTTCTTTCAGAAGATAAACAAAATTGATAAACCATTAGCCAGACTCATCAAGTAAAAGAGGGAGAGGACTCAAATCAATAAAATTAGAAATGAAAAAGGAGAAGTTACAACAGACACCACAGAAATACAAAGCATCCTAAGAGACTACTACAAACAACTCTATGCCAATAAAATGGAAAACCTGGAAGAAATGGACACATTCTCAGGAAGGTATAACCTTCCATGATTGAACCAGGAAGAAATAGAAAATATGAACAGACCAATCACAAGTAATGAAATTGAAACTGTGATTAAAAATCTTCGAACAAACAAAAGTCCAGGATCAGATGGCTCCACAGGTGAATTCTATCAAACATTTAGAGAAGAGCTAATACCCATCCTTCTCAAACTCTTACAAAAAATTGTGGAGGAAGGAATACTCCCAAACTCATTCTATGAGGTCACCATCACCCGATACCAAAACCAGACAAAGATACTACAAAAAAAGAAAATTACAGACCAATATCACTGATGAATATAGATGCAAAAATCCTCAACAAAATACTAGCAAACCGAATCCAACAGCACATTAAAAGCATCATACACCATGATCAAGTGGGATTTATCCCAGGGATGCAAGGATTCTTCAATATATGCATATCAATCAGTGTGATACACCATATTAACAAATCGAAGAAGAAAAACCATATGATCATCTCAATAGATGCAGAAAAAGCTTTTGACAAAGTTAAACACCCATTTATGATAAAAACTCTCCAGAAAGTGGGCACAGAGGGAACCTACTTCAACATAATAAAGGCCATATATGACAAACCCACAGCAAACATTATTCTCAATGGTGAAAAACTGAAAGCATTTCCTCTAAGATCAGGAACAAGACAAGGAAGTCCACTCTCACCACTATTATTCAACATAGTTTTGGAAGCCCTAGCTATGGCAATCAGAGAAGAAAAATAAATAAAAGGAATACAAATTGGAAAAGAAGAAGTAAAACTGTCACCGTTTGCAGATGACATGATACTATACATAGAGAATCCTAAAGATGGCACCAGAAAACTACTAGAGCTAATCAATGAATTTGGTAAAGTTGCAGGATTCAAAATTAATGCTCAGAAATCTCTTGCATTCCTATACACTAATGATGAAAAATCTGAAAGAGAAATTAAGGAAACACTCCCATTTACCATTGCAACGAAAAGAATAAAATACCTAGGAATAAACCTACCTAGGGAGACAAAAGACCTGTATGCAGAAAATTATAAGACACTGATGAAAGAAATTATAGATGATATCAGCAGATGGAGAAATATACTATGTTCTTGGATTGGAAGAATGAATATTGTGAAAATGACTTTACTACCCAAAGCAATTTACAGATTCAATGCAATCCCTATCAAATTACCAATGGAATTTTTTACAGAACTAGAACAAAAAATCTTAAAATTTGTATGGAGACACAAAAGACCCTGAAGAGCCTAAGCAGTCTTGAGGGAATAAAACGGAGCTGGAGGAATCAGACTCCCTGACTTCAGACTATACTACAAAGCTACAGTAATCAAGATAATATGGTACTGGCACAAAAACAGAAACGTAGATCAATGGAACAAGATAGAAAGCCCAGAGATAAACCCACGCACCTGTGGTTAACTAATCTATGACAAAGGAAGCAAGGATATACTATGGAGAAAAGACAGTCTCTTCAATAAGTTGTGCTGGGAAAACTGGACAGCTACATGTGAAAGAATGAAAGTAGAACACTCCGTAACACCATATACAAAAATAAACTCAAAATGGATTAGAGACCTAACTGTAAGACCAGACACTATAAAACTCTTAGAGGAAAACATAAGAAGAACACTCTATGACATAAATCACAGCAAGATCTTTTTTGATCCACCTCCTAGAGTAATGGAAATAAAAACAAAAATAAACAAATGGGACCTAATGAAACCTAAAAGCTTTTGCACAGCAAAGGAAACCAGAAACAAGAGGAAAAATAAATAAATAAATAAAAGAAATAGTACTCTGGATATTTTATAGGGGCACTTTCTTATCATTTTTTTTCTAATATTTTCTTTCTCACTTATATAAGGCATAAGCACTCTAGAATTTCAAAGTTACTCAACTGTCTTTTTGAACCTAAAATTGATTATTTATTTATTATACAACAGCTTCTTATTAGTTATCTATTTTATACATATTAGTGTATATATGTCAATCCAAATAATCTTATGAAACATCTTCAATGCTGTTTCTTCCAGACAGATAATAAAGAGATAATAAGACAAAAAGTTCAGAGAATATTAAGTTACTACATGTGAATAATCAGGGAAAGCTTTAATACCTGGATAGGTAAGTTTCTTACTGAGATAAAGAAACATTTAATATATTTAAAAATATTTACAGGTCCTTCAATATAGGCCAGAAAAGTGGCTGAGAAAAATTTCAGTAGACCATACCAACACATCCAAATTCCTGCCCAGAGTCACAGAGAATACATGGGGGTCTTTCTAAATTCTTACAGGCTGTTTAATGTTTACCATCTTACATGAGCTTTTCTTCATAGTTGTCCATCTCAGTCACTGCCTTCTGAAGTTTTAGCCCACATGCTTCAACTTGACACTGTAAATCTGGAATGACATAATGTGTTCTTCTGATTAGTACATTTTAAGTGTCCAGATATTTTCATAGAGTAAACCACATTCTTTTAGCATTGCCACTCACCTCCTGAAGAATAATGCAGCTGTTTATTCCACTTTGCTTGGATGACTATATGTAGCTCATCCCTACTCTGAAATCCCACAGAATTAATAGGTTTTGACAGACTCAATTTATTGGCTTCTTTCTGCCCCCAACATCATGCTAATTTTCAAACAGCTAATAGGCTAAATTTTACTGATGTTTTCAAAGGAAATTTATGTCGCTGGCACACATATGAATTTTTGGTCATATGGCTCACTTCTGAAACACTTGACTTTCTGAGCTAGCTCCTGTGTCCTGGAACTTAGAAGTATTGCTAAGGCCTCCCAGTAGAACTGAAATAGACAAACCATGTGCAAGGCTTCCAGTAAAGAATCTGTTAACTCTGGGTAGTGCCTAATAGGCATTTTAATGACTTTCAAGCCAAGAAAATATAAGCAGGCAATTGGCTTCCACAGAGTCTTGAACTGAGGAATTCAAGTAGTGTTTGAGAAAGATTATTCAGGCAGCCACGTCTCACATGTGTAGATGCAGAACTGAAACTAAAGCAGAAAGAACATATGGCTTGAATGATCTGAGACCCACCATTAGCCTGTGTGTGTGGACTAAGATCTGACCCCCAGCCCCAATAACAGCCCTTGTTGGTACTCTTTTTGGGAAAAGGTGGAAAACAAATTTACACAGGTGGATTAACTGACTTCTATGAAGAAAACAATTTTAAACATTGAAATTTATAAAATTTCCATGTTACATCTGTTCAGGTGTTTTAATAACATATTTTTAACAGTAAACTTTAAAATCTTAAAAAATTTTTTTTTGATAGATCTTTATTGGAGTATAATTGCTTCACAATAAATACTGTGTTAGTTGATGTTGCACAACAAAGTGAATCAGCCATATGCATATACATGTCCCCATATCCCCTCCTTCTGGAGCCTCCCTCCCATCCTCCCTATCCCACCCCTCTAGGTCATCACAAAGCACTGAGCCGCTCTCCCAGTGCTATGCTGCTGCTTCCCACCAGCCAACTATTTTACATTTGGTAGTGTATATATGTTGATGCTACTCACTTCACCCCAGCTTTGCCCTCCCACCCCATGTCCTCAAGTCCATTTTCTATGTCTACCTCTTTATTCCTGCCCTGCAACTAGGTTCATCAATACCTCCCTTTTATTTTTAGATTCCATATATATGTGTTAGCATATGGTATTTGTTTTTCTCTTTCTGACTTACTTCACTCTGTATGACAGACTCTAGGTCCACCCACCTCACTACAAATAACTCAATTTCATTTCTTTTTATGGCTGAGTAATATTCCATTGTATACCTGTGCCACATCTTTATCCATTCATCTGTCGATGGACATTTAGGTTGCTTCCATATCCTGGCTATTGTAAATAGTGCTGCAATGAACATTGTGGTACATGTCTCTCTTTTTTTTTTTGCAGTACGCGGGCCTCTCACTGTTGTGGCCTCTCCCGTTGCAGAGCACAGGCTCCGGACGTGCAGGCTCAGCTGCCACGGCTCATGGGCCTAGCTGCTCCGCGGCATGTGGGATCTTCCTGGACCGGGGCACGAACCTGTGTCCCCTGCATCGGCAGGTGAACTCTCAACCACTGCACCACCAGGGAAGCCCACATGTCTCTTTTAGAATTATGGTTTTCTCAGGGTATATGCCCAGTAGTGGGATTGCTGGGTCATATGGCAGTCCTATATTTAGTTATTTAAGGAACCTCCATACTGTTCTCCATAGTGGTTGTATCAATTTACATTCCCACCAACAGTGCAGGAGGGTTCCCTTTTCACCATACCCTTTCCAGCATTTATTGTTTCTAGATTTTTTGATAATGGCCATTCTGACTGGTATGAGGTGATGCCTCATTGTAGTTTTGATTTGCATTTCTCTAATAATTAGTGATGTTGAGCATCTTTTCATGTGCCTCTTGGCCATCTGTATGTCTTCATTGGTGAAATGTGTATTTAAGTCTTCCACCCATTTTTTAACTGGAATGTTTGTTTTTTTGATATTGAGCTCCCATGAGCTATTTGTATATTTTGGAGATTAATCCTTTGTTGTTTCATCTGCAAATATTTTCTCCCATTCTGAGGGTTCTCTTTTTGTCTTGTTTATGGTTTCTGTTGCTGTGCAAAAGCTTTTAAGTTTAATTAGTTCCCATTTGTTTATTTTTGTTTTTATATCCATTACTCTAGGAGGTGGGTCAAAAAAGATCTTGCTGTGGTTTATGTCAAAGAGTGTTTTTCCTATGTTTTCCTCTAAAAGTTTTATAGTGTCTTGTCTTACATTTAAGTCTTTAATCCATTTGGAGCTTATTTTTGGGTATGGTGTTAGGTAGTGTTCTCATTTCATTCTTTTACATGTACCTGTTCAGTTTTCCCAGCACCACTTATTGAAGAGGTTGTCTTTTCTCCATTGTATGTTCCTGCCTCCTTTATCATAAATTAGGTGACCATATGTGCATGTGTTTATCTCTGGGCACTCTATCTTGTACCACTGAGTTATAATTTGTTTTTGTGCCAGTACCATACTCTCTTGATTACTGTAGCTTTGTGGTACAGTTTGAAGTAGGGGAGCCTGTTTCCTCCAACTCCGTTTTTCTTTCTCAAGATTGCTTTGGTTATTCAGGGTCTTTTGTGTTTCCATATGAATTGTAAGATTTTTTGTTCTAATTCTGTGAAGAATGCCATTGGTAGTTTGATAGGGATTGCACTGAATCTGTAGCTTGCTTTGGGTACTATAGTCATTTTCACAATATTGATTCTTCCAGTCCAAGAACACGGTATATTTCTCCATCTGTTTATGTCATCTTTGATTTCTTTCATCAGTGTCTTATAATTTTCTGAATACAGGTCTTTTGTCTCCTTAGGTAGGTTTATTCCTAGGTATTTTCTTCTTTTTGTTGCAATGGTAAATGGGAGTGTTTCCTTAATTTCTCATTCTGATTTTTTGTTGTTGGTGTATAGAAATGCCAGTGATTTCTCTGCATTAATTTTGTATCCTGCAACCTTACCAAATACCAGTGATATTGGTCTATAATTTTCTTTCTTTGTGATATATTTTTCTGGTTTTGTTATCAGGGTGATGGTGGCTTCGTAGAATGAATTTGGGAGTTTAAACTTCAAAAACTTTATGCATCCATATAAATATATAAAATTTCTATACATATCTTCAGTCTGCCTTCTTAACTTTGTTTCATGAAAATGAGGCAGTTCCTTAAATCAGAAAATAAATTCACTCTAAACAAATGTTTTAATTAGAAGTTACTAGATATTGGTATAAATTTTTATTTTTATTCAGCATGTTCACATATATTAATGTTATCCCTCAAATTGCTACATAAGTGAAAACAGCCCCATTTTTCAGATGATGAGAAATGAGATTTTCTTTGATTCTCTTGCCTAGTATCTTACAGTGAATATATGCATTAGCCAGCAGTCAAACTGACAAGATTTTAAACTCAGGTAAGGGGATCTATTTGAGAGAATGGCTCCTTGAATAAATAAATAATTCAATATGGCCTTAACTTGGTAGATAATATTTGTATGGTACATCTTTTCCACTTATCAAGTGATATCATTATATGAGAGAAAAGATAAAATAACGTACACATAGAGAATTTAGTTTTGAGGGTAACCAGTTGAAACAAGGCAATCTCTAATGAATGTTGCATCATGTGTTGCTTTGTTATTAAGTACATGAGGGCTTGCAGAGGGTTCCATTCACACAGGCACAGCTAAAACATTTCTGCCTATCCTCTGAAAAATAAGGAGGGAAGGAAGTTAATGTTTGTTGATTGTATACTATTCCAGGCACTGTGCAGGGTGCTTTCTCCTATTTCATTTAATTCATAGTCACAACTATCACGAAAAACAGATACACAGACACAGCCTGAAGGGGTTAGTGCACCACGGCTAGCCGGGAGGGAGTCCGGGCAAAAATCTGCCAAAGAAGCAAGAGACTTTTTCTTCCCTCTTTGTTTCCTGGTACGAGAGGAGAGGGGTTAAGAGCGCTGCTTAAAGGAGCTCCAGAGACAGGCGCGAGCCGCGGCTAACAGCGCGGACCATAGAGACGGGCATGACACGCTGAGGCTGCTGCTGCCACCACCAAGAAGGCTATGTGCGAGCACAGGTCACTGTCCACACCTCCCTTCTGGGGAGCCTGTGCAGCCCGCCACTGCCAGGGTCCCGGGATCCAGGGACAACTTCCCCAGGAGAACGCAAGACATGCCTCAGGCTGGTGCAACGTCACGCCAGCCTCTGCCGCTGCAGGCTCACCTCGCACTACGTACCCCTCCCTCTCCCTGGCCTGAGTGAGCCAGAGCCCCCGAATCAGCAGCTCCTTTAATCCCGCCTGTCTGAGCAAAGAATAGACGCCCTCTGGTGACCTACATGCTGAGGTGGGGCCAAATCCAAAGCTGAACCCCGGGAGCTGTGAGAACAAAGAAGAGAAAGGGAAATCTCTCCCAGCGTCCTCAGGAACAGCGGATTAAAGCTTCAATCAACTTGATGTACCCTGCATCTGTGGAATACCTCAACAGACAATGAATCATCCCAAATTGAGGAGGTGGACTTTGAGAGCAAGATTTATTATTATTTCCCATTTTTTCTCTTTTTGTGAGTGTGTATGTGTATGCTTCTGTGTGAGATTTTGTCTGTATAGCTTTGCTTTCACCATTTGTCCTAGGGTTCAATCCATCCATTTTTTGTTTTTACTTAAAAAAATTTTTTTCTTAATAATTATTTTTTTATTTTAATAACTTTATTTTATTTTACCTTACTTTATTTTATTTTATTTTATCCTCTTGCTTTCTTTCTACCTTTTCCCCCTTTTATTCTGAGCCGTGTGGATGAAAGGCTCTTGGTGCTGCAGCCAGGAGTCAGTGCTGTGCCTCTGAGGTGGGAGAGCCAACTT